TGTGGGGAGCAGAACAAGCAGACTGATGAAGTATACTGCTGAGGAGAGCAATGGGCAAGATAGGAGAGGTCAGCTGCACTTTGTGGATCACCTCTGGGGCCAGGGATCAAACTCATCCTTAAGTGGCTGCGGCTGTTTGCAGTGCTACACTTCAACTTGCTGCACCAACACTAATTTCTATAAATCTCTTTGTTATGGAGCAAAACTAAGGAGTACTCAGGGAAAAACTCATGTTGCCCATTTTAAGGGGCAATGTTGCCTATGCACAACAAACAGGATAATCAAATTGTAATGTGCTCAAATATTTTTCATAGAGAGAAAAGTAAGGGAAAGAAGGATTCCAAATAACATGTTCCTGATCAGACTGAAATTACCCACCCTCTTGTGGGCAGATATCCGGCCAAATAAGAGGGTCCATATCAGAACTTCTAGGAGAATTGGTGTAAGACACCTAGCAGGAAAAACAAAAACAAACAAACAAACAAAAAAAGAAAACAAGCAATAATTTGGACAGGCTCAGATGACTAGGAGGAAAAGAGAGAGCTGAAATTCAAAATGTATCATGCAACCTTCATAATCTACCACTAGGTCAAGATGGCCACAACTATAGTCTCTGAAAGAGACTGAGCTGAGCTGAGCTGTCCCTTTGCCAAAGTGTTAAAGCTAGAAAGATCCCAAACATACAAGTGTTCAGGTTTTTAAAGCCCAAAATGCTTATTGAGTTCCTAAGTATTCTGGGAGTTGTAGTGAGAAATTTTATATGAGGGATTTGTGGGGGTGGAGGGGTGGGAAGGGGCAGAATCCAGAGCATCTGTCACTGGCTGAGATTGACAAGCTCTAACATTTTCATTGGAATTTCACTGTACATTCCCTGCTATGAGAGGGATACTGGTCTCGTCTCCAGATGTTCCTCTGGGCACCCAGATGTTCCTCTGGGATCTAAAGCTTTTCAGTATGACTTGTAGATATGAGCACAGGAGTGAGGAGAGTTGAGTAGGGGTGGTACAGCAGGGATGACTTGGGCACAGTTGCTCTTTGGCTCAAAACATAATACTACTTAGGTAAAAGTAACAAAGAGTTCAACTGTTCTACAATATGATTTCACCAATTGAGTTACAAAGTAAGGTTTTGTTGGGGATTATAGTCTCTTCCTTGCCCTGCAGACTGGGTTCCAAAGTTTTGAATAGATAAGGGAAACTGAAGAGTTACCCTGGGAACTGGGTCAGAGACCTTGGTCAGAGAGGGGAACTAAATGATTGTTATTGAAATAGGGCCACAATGTCCATCTGGGCCATTAAAGTCTTATGGCTTGACATTACCATAGAGCTATTTCCTAAATCCTAGAAAGTTCGCAAGTTCAGAATATAAGCATTTAAAATTTTCCCTTGCTGCCCACACACTCTTGTCTCGTCTCTGTTTCTCTAGCAGGCAAATCAATGAATCTGCCTCTTCTATTTTCCATACTGTCTTTGATGAATTCTTTCAACCCCAGTGAGGGGGCATTTATTCAGAGCCATTGATATCCCTGTCATGGAAGCCTGCAAGTACAGCATCTTAAAAAAAAAAGAGTGATGAACTGGAACTCTGGTGCCAGGGACTCATAGTGGATCATACCCAGAAGTGAGTTTTAAAGAAAGATGAGGTAGGACTTCTCACCTTCCTGCACATCAAGTCTGAATCAAGAGGTGGGTGTTGGAACCTGGCTTGAGATGTGGATGTTACACAAATTGTTATTGGGGGGTAGGGCTACTGCTGTTCACATGTCCCCAAGGACTCCCATAAGGGTCTCAATCACAGTCATATTTCTGATCCTTGAAGAACTACCTGTTTTCAGTGAATTAGCTGACTCCTTATTGTGGCTGCTGATTAGGTGAGGGCTGGAGAGGAGACTAAACCATAGAAAACCACGAAGGCTCAATAGAAGTGGGAAGTAGAATTGTGAAACCAGGATGTCAGAAAATATGGTAACAAATAGGTAAGACAGATTATCCTAGAATTTCAGCATTATCAATGAAGGGATAAAAGTGTCAGGTGTTACAGGTGTTATCACACAGCAGGGAAGTTAGGATTTACTGATAACTATGCTATTGATTAAGTTTTGTAAACTCCCAACTGCAGCTCCCCACTTAAGGGCAGGTCCCCACTTGATTTACGCAAAATATGTCTCCAAGCCATCCCTGTTTGATTTAGTCAGAGGCAAAACATGTTTAACTAAACCGTATATTTAGAGCTGTGGGCCTCCCTGATGGCCTAGGGGTTAAGTCTCAATGCTATCTATCACCACTAAGGCCTGATTTTCATCTGTCCAGGGAGTTAAGCCACATATGGCACAGCAGACCTCTCCTGTCTCACCCACTGGTCCCTTTAGCAGTTCATTTCAGTCACTCCACCTGTTTTGTTCCGTAAGTTTATCTCTGGCAAATCCTCTCACCCCCACTTCCCCCACACCTGTCCTACACTCTAGTTTTTCTATGCAAAGATAAATAAATAAATAAATCCTTTTTTTTTAAAGAAAATATGGAGATGACAGAGTTCTAATAGTGACCTGAAGTTCACACCAATATCATTATCATACTAAAATCTCCACCTGAAGAATAATTGGACCACCATTTGTAAACATGCCATATATGTGGAAGCATTAATTCCATCTTGGAATGCTCAGATGACCACCAATGCCCAATACTTCCAATATGCAGTCTCCAAAATCTTCTTTGTCTCCCTTAAAGATACTTCCTAGTCTTTAGTAGAGAAATAGTCTGGAGAAATTCACATTCTTTGTCTATATTATCTGCAGATAATAAACTCTTCCTTCTATAAAATTAAAAAATAAAAACAAACAAAAAATCTAGAACATTTGTGTCTGGTCTCTTTGGGTACATCCACGAGTTGAACCATTGCATATAGTAATAGAATGCAGGGATCAAGGACCTTTAAGAGAAATCAACACCCATCTATCCACTCTAGGCCTCCAGTTTGTATTATTTGGAGCCAAGCCAATACCAGAACTGACAGTGGTGGTTACAGTGGTGATGATTCCGCTCCACTCTCCCTTTGAGCAGCTGGCCTTGTGCCACACTTTATTACCAAGGAGATAGATATTGCTACAATCCTATTCAGGTGAGCAGAATCAGGCTTGCAAAGGCCAAGTGCCTTGTACACTGCTAGTAAAGCAGATCCTGGGATCCAAGCCAGTTTTCACTGACCATAATATAGAGAAGAACCCAGGTGAGGAGTTGCTGCTCTGCATGGATGACTGGATCCTTGAATGAGTCTGCTTCCCTACTTTGTATCTTCAGGTTCCTTCAACTGTGTCCTTTTAGAATTCAGCAGCCTTGGTGAAGGCTTGGGCTCAGGCATCATCTTCTGAAGGCTTCAAAGGAAGAGAGGTATTGAGTCCTAGACCAAGTTAGTGTTAAATATGCAGCTTTGGGGCAGGAAAGGCAGGGAACTTCAGGAGAATAAAATGGACTTCTTAGATAAGGGCAGAGAAATCCAGGAGGACTAACACACATGGACAGTGAATTTTAGCAAAACCTTGTGGACAGGGGCAGTGAAAGGAAAGCTCCAAGAGTAGGGAAGCTGAACACAGCTGCCCAGGGAATAAGCCACTAAAAGAGAGCCAATCACAGAAAGGATGAAGAAAATGAGGAAGAAGAAGAGGGAGAAGAGGAGGAGTGGGAGTGGATGGAGAAAGGAAAGGAGCTGAAATAACAGACTAAGGATCAAACACCATCTCTCAGTAGGCAAAACATCAGTTAGGCAGGGCCTAGAACTGAGATGCCAGCCGAACAAGTTCAAGATAACTCCAAGCAGGAAAAAAAACAAGCAATAGTTTAAGAGTCTGGGAAAGGAGAAATCTGAAATTTAGAATTTACCATCAACCTAGGTAATCTATCATGAGGTCACAATAATGGCTACCACTGTCTTTGAAGAACCTGATGTATGTCTGCCTTCTTCCCTTTTACACACACACACACACACACACACACACACAGAGCATCCAATGTAACTGAGAGGTTGGCAGTCTGGAACTGGGGGTGGGGAAAATGGCTCTGTCCCAGTGACCATGGCAACTCTTCTCCCTCTTTCAGTGACATATCCTGTAACATAGAGCTTGGGAAACTCAAGGTATCAACTGACTGCTGTAGAGCTTGGAGGCCTGGAAATGACCATGTTTCATTCTTGTAAATATAATGTAAAATATTCTGGGAACACTACCTCCAGCCTGGCTGACAAATTCAAATGCCACTGCACAGGTTCTTACTTGTATGCAGATATCTTTGCCTGCAGGCATAAGTCAGCTTTCTGTGTTAAAAGAGATGGCTTTATGGGTGCCCAGGCTTTGTCTCTCTACAAGGCATTCTTAGACGGGAGGAGATTGGATCCTGCATTGCTTTGCTCTAGCATCAGCTTATCTTTGGGTCAGGATAATTTAGAGCTGGAAAACCCTCCTATCAAGAGCAGTTATGTTTTTGGTGCCCATGACTTAACATTTCGGTCTATATAAACTAGACTTGGGCCTGTGTTTAGCTAAACTGGCCTCATAGAGTACTATTTGTTTCTCTCCTTCCTGACTTTGAATGTCCTCACTTTGATTATTTAACTCTTCATCTAACTATTTTTTTAAGAAAAGATTTATTTACTTATGCATACAGACCTGGGGTACAGGCAAGAGATTCTCAGGGTTAGTGGGGAGCCGAGCAGGCAGATTTACTGAAATACACTGCTGAGGGGAGAAGAGGGTGAGTCAGGAGGGGTCTGCTGTGCCATGTGGGTCAGCTCCTTTGCTGGGGATTGAACTTGTGCTGAAGTGGCTGCAGCTAGCTTCATAGTGCTATGCTTTACCCTGTTGCACAACCAGAGAGGACCCTTCATCTAACAATTCTTTAATTTTAGCTAGAAAAAATGAATTGTGTATTCCTTCATTTAATCCTCACAAATCTCAGTATATAAACTTTTAATTAATTTTACATCACAATGATCTAAAATTTTGATAGAAATTAAGTATATTAAACTTTTGTAATGTAAGATATGAAAAGCATACTTCTAATATGATTTCAATATTTATTTCTCAATGATCAAATTAAAAAATAAAGGGCAAAGGACCAAAAGTCAATAGAAAAGTAGGAAAAAGACTTAAGCAAATTAAATAAGATGTATGTAAAATCTTAATTGCCTTTAAACATATTAAGAAATATTCAAAATCTCTAATTAGAAAAATTTAAATTAAAGAACCACTGAGATGTCATTTCCCACCTATAGACTAGAAAACATTAAAATATAAGATGATACAGTCTTTGGAAATACTGTGGGGACACAGGTCTTATCACAAATTGTTGGTCAGCACAACTCTGCAAAAGAGAATTTGATTAACCTAACAAGACTACATAGGTATGTAGATTTCTTTATCTCATTTTCGTAATATACCCCAAAGCAATACTCCAGCAATATTAACACATATATGCAAAATTAATGAATGATGCTTTGCCTCTGATAACAACATATTAGAACAACTTAAACATCCATGCAGCATAGACAGGTTAAAAAACCACATGCTGATTTCTGAGCAGTCCTCAGGCAAATGAGGATCCCCTCTCCCCTTCCCCATGAATGAACATAAATGAATACAGCTATTTATTTTTTTAAGATTTATTTATTTGTGCATACAGAACTGGGGGTACAGGCCAAAGGTTCAGGGGCAGCGAGAGGCTTCACCAGAGACACAGTGGGGAACAGAACAGGCAGATTGAAAAAGTACACTGTTAAGGGGAGCACTGTGCAGATCAGGAAATGTCTGCTACGCCATGTGGATCACCTCTGTGGCAGGGAATGGAACTCACTTTGAAGCAGCTCCGGCTTGCTTGCAGTGCTGTGCCTTAACCCATTATGCCACTAGAGAGGGCCCGAACAAGGCTATTTCTAACATATCTAGCTGTAAATACATAACAAAGGAATATCCAGGAACCCCAGACTATTAAGGGCTGCACATTCTAAGGGGTCCTATCATCCATGTGCAAAAAGGCAAAGAAATCATACTCGGTGTGAAATATTTTCAGTAGACTTGGCATGCATAGAAAATGAGAGAAAAGTGAAGAAAAGATAATCCTAAGAAAATTCCAAAAGTGACACATCTCCTGTGGTCAAATGCTTAGCCAAACAGGCTCAGCCTTAGCAGAGCAGTTGAGACACAAAAGCTTGCCAGAAACATAAGGCACCTTCTGACAGAGAACCACAAGAAAGGGGTCAGACAGTTTCCAGAGAGCTGGGGCAGAAAAGACCCCAAATTTAAAATGCACTACATAATTCACTGTGAGGTTAAGAGTATGGTTGTCATCATCTGTGTCAGAATATCAAAATCCCGTTAGTAATTTCTCTATGTCTCCAAGTATTTCTATATCTATTTCTATGTGTCCAAGTACCTCTTCTTCACCAAGTGTCTCTACACCTTCATTCCATAACCACTATATCCACCTCCTTCCCAGTTGGTTCAACAAGGCATGGCAGGAATTGTAATCAAAGGCACCTACAAGTGGGAGTGGGGCAAATGATGCCAGTTCACTGTGTCATGGAGGCTCCTGTCTGTAACACTGTGAGGTGAGAAACATGAAGCTGTAGAAATATCTCTACAGAAAACTGACCCTTATTCACTAAAAATAAGAAATTAAAAGTTATCCACTACCTCAACTCAACTAAGAGGCACAGCCAAAGGTCAGGCGTAGCCCTTAATGGAAACTAGGGTGTGCAAAAAAAACCCTGTGGTGCCTTAGAATCTGAGCAGGAGTTGGAGTAGGTGAATTAGAAGTGAAGATATATTGAAGGTGAGAGTTCACACTCAAGGGTGAGTGCAGGAAGACTCAAAAAAGAAGCCCACCTTGTGTCTGGAGGCTGCTGACATATATATAAGCTTAGGGATTTACAAATAAGATCCTGAGTGGGTTTTGACCAATTTTGTTTAGCAAGACCATGGGGTAATAACACTCCTATTTGTTAGATATAGAAGGGAAGTTTTACAAGGGTGCTCAGGAAATGAGTGAAATAAAAGGTCTAAGCTAGTAGGGTTTAGGTCACCTTGCTTTGGAGTGTACATAGAAATGATTTCAGAGTTCCTGGATGGGAAACTGGTTTCTGTGCTAAATTATTTTTCTGCTTCATCCCCTGCTTCTCAGAGATTTTAGCCCCATCCATAATCTTATAGGGTTGCTGAAGGCCACTTGTCAATCTTCTGTCATTATTTCCTGCTTAAGGGGGTTGTTATCCCTTCCTTAGGTGGAGGCTGGACACCTCTGATATTTTATCTAGAGAGGCAAGATTCCAGTATTTATTGTGAGTCCAGGCTATATTCCTTGGATTAGCATCATTCTGTTATAATCTAGAGGAAACAAATTTGACAATGGGACTGAGAATACATGAGCCAAAATGAGATATAAAAGAATAATTATCATATCCCACCTAGAGATGACAGCCATGTCTGCATATCTGGACTTTTCCCTACAAGTTGGTAATAATTCATTTTTTTTTCCTTGTCAGGAGGTAGTTTATTGACAAGTACTGTAATACTTGAACATAATTCAAGTTCTTTAATTTTTGTTTGAAATTAATTCTTTAATTTCAGTTTGAACAGGACAAATTATTATTATTTTTAACATTTTGCCTTTTTTTTTTTAAAGATTTATTTATTCATATAAAACCAGGGTGCAAGTCAGAGAGTCAGGGGTGGTGAGTCTTCAACAGAGACAGAGTGGGGATCAGAACAGACAGAATGACAAATTACACTGCTGAGGGGAGCAGTGGGTGGCCCAGGAGAGGTTTGCTGCAACATGTGGGTCTCCTCCGGGTCAGGGATCAAACTCGCACTGAAGTGGCTGCAGGTAGCTTGCAATGTTGCGTACCAACTCGTTGCGCCACCAGGGAGGGCACAATACAAATTATTTTACTACTTTATTTAACAGTGACACTGACTTTTTTTTAAAAAAACTGCAGGTAAGTCCCAACATGTTAGACTTTTTGTTTTTTCTGTAGCAAATGATCAAGGTGGGGAGTCTAGTATCACTTTATCCAGTTATCAGGGGGTTGTTGAGAATATTCTGTTTAATTTCCAGGTTTTAAAAAATAACTAAAATACACTTAAGAGGACAAGAATTTGATTACCCCCAAAGAATGAATTACCAAAATACAGTTTTCTCTCACTTCCAACTCAATTTTTCAAATATTTATGGCAAAACTAATTTATTTATTATTTTTTTAAAGATTTATTTATTTATGCACACAGAACTGGGGTACAGGCCAGAGATGCGGAGGGTGAGAGGATTCACCAGAGACAGAGTGGGGAGCAGAACAGGCAGATCAACGAAGCACACTGCTGAGGGG